CTCCTGGCTGGCGTGTCAAGACTGGCTGGCGGGACAGCATGCTTCTTCCTCCTGCTCCCTCTTAGGAGAAGCTTCTTCATCCCTTACTAAATGAGCTCACTTTTGCTTCCAACATTTCTTCTTGTGTATAGGGGTGACTGATACTGGTACAAGTTGGTTCTCTGGTTCAGCTGCAGTGCCTGTTGTGGGGGTTGGAGTAGCTGCGGTGCCTGTCGTTTTGTCATCAGATCCGGAGACCTCCTCTCCCCCTTGAGGCTTCTGAATAGTGTTGAACAGGGCTCCGTAGGCATGGGACAAGCCCCAGCATGTTGCAGTGATCTGTGTCTCCTCTCCCCCTTGAGGCTTCTGAATAGTGTTGAACAGGGCTCCGTAGGCATGGGACAAGCCCCAGCATGTTGCAGTGATCTGTGTCTCTATGGAATTGCCAGGGTGACAGCATGCTTTTTTCAAATATTTTACTAGTTTTTCAGGGTTCTGCACTTGTTTAGGGGTGAAGTTCCAAAACATTGGAGGTGACCACTGTCCTAGGCACTTGCCCATACTATCCCACACACCCTCATAATATCCAACCTTGGGGCAGATCTCTGGGTGGTATTTTTAAATAGTTGTTTAACCCTAAACAAGACCTGAAACACATTCAAGAGACATAGCAACATCCCAAGGATACTCTAAATTCTCAAGAGCTATTGTAATCAGCCTGGAGGAGAAGGGGACGGTGAAGGAAGGTGTCTCCGCCGTAGATTGGCTCTCTAAGGAGAAGAGGTAAAAAATATAATTATTAATAGTTTCCGAGAGATAGCTCCCGAAGTACAGGGATGACTGCAGTGCTGAGTACAGTCTCGTGACCAATAATTTCATCATACCATAAGCCAGTGTTACACAGGACAGCAAAGCGGTAACTTCAGTCCAACTCCCGGAGGTGATGAAGAGCACCGCAGGGAGCAAGTACGGTGTTACATAACCCGGCTCTGAGAACCAGGACAACAACTCTGAGAGCACATGAATCAACATTGTGACCAGCGACTATTAAACTCATATAATGAATGCTTACCAGAAATTTGTTTTAACACGCTTGGGTCAGATGTGTCGTTATCTCAACCCTTTGAGCCCCACGTTGGGTGCCAAAAAGGACTGTTGTGGTTTAACCTGGCAGGCAGCTAAACCACAGAGCCGCTCGCTCACTTCCTGTTGCCCCCAGTGGGATGGGGGAGAGAATCGGAAGGGAAGACTTATGGGTTGACATAAGAACAGTTTAATAATTGAAATAAAATAATATGTAATGAAAAGGAAGATAACAAAAAGAGAGAGAAATAAAACCCAGGAAAGACAAGTGATGCAAATGAAAAAAAAATTGCTCACCACCAACCGACCGATGCCCAGCCAGTCCCTGAGCAGCGGCCCCCTGGCCAGCTTTCCCCTAGTTTATATACTGAGCATGATCTTATCTAGTATGGAATATCCCATTGGCCAGTTTGGGTCAGCTGTTCTGGCTGTGCCCCCTCCCAGCTTCTTGTCTATCTCCAGCCTTCTCAGTTGGTGAGCATGAGAAGCTGAAAAGGTCTTGACTCCGTGTAAGCACTTCTCAGCAATTACGAAAACATCTCTATATTATCAACACTGTTTTCAGCATAAATCCAAAACATAGCCCCATACTAGCTACGATGAAGAAAATTAACTCTATCTCAGCCAAAACCAGAACAAGATTATGCTTTCAAGCTTTTCTAAAACAAAATTGCAGTTGAATTGTAAGACTACTGGCTTGTGATTGTTAAAGATGGGTTGGTTCTCTGAAGGTATTTTAGCAGTTCCTTGCTGTCTTTGAGTGATGAAAGTTTTCAGTTGCCATACTTCTGACTGATGCTGTTGTAGTGTATCGTAGGCATAGAAATTTTCTCAGGCAAGTAGAAGACCATGCAAGCAAAACAGAAGCATCTTCACCCACACCATGCAATGATAATTCAATAGTTTGTGAAATGCTCTTATTTCTGAAAAGATATTCTGGACCTTCTCTCACATTGAACACCCTTGTAAATGTGGTTGCAGTGGACTAATTTTTATGTAGCTTAACTTGGGTGCTGAGTGAAGACCAGTCAAATAGAAACGTATTCTAATACAAATACAAACATCTTTGACAACTTCAGAACTTAGCAGTATCCCTTGGTTCTGATTTTAAGTGATACCTGTGGAAAATCTTCATTCTTTCCTTGATCTTCTGCATCTAGTTCTGACTTGGTTAAATTGCTGAACTAGATGCAGGATGATTTTCTTTCTAGCATTTAAAATATGAATGGTTTTGAAGCAGTAATTTGCATTCCTTATCTCACTGGTTCTTTCTAAACACCCACCTTGTAGTCTGTTTGTGAAGATCAAAGTGAAATAAGCAATAATATGACTCTTTGATATAGGATTTTTTTTTTTTTTTTAACTTTAAGGTTTTATTCCATGCAAGTTAAATTTTTTTATTGCCTACTTTGGTAACTGTGTGTGTTGTGTTTTATAGTGGCTCATCTTCTTCATGTAGTTACTTTTTCAGAACAGTAATGTGTGAAGGACTGCAGCATGGATGGTTAGTCTAGCAGACGCAGTTGGTTTTTTGCCTCTATATTGTGTGTGGCTGGGAAGTCTCCAGTAATGCCTTTAAGACACAGGCAGTAGTAATGTTTCTAATAACTGCTAAGTTTTTTGCTTTGGGCACTCTTTATTTCTGCCCTGCTTAAAAAACCCAAGCTATTAAACTTGCTTGGCAAAATAATGTGTTATATTATGTTCCTCCTGAATCATGTCATGGAAACTTGCCCAGTGTTTGCCAAATCTAGCTAAGCAGCCATGTGTGGTAGATTGCCTGGTGTTGTCTCCTTTTTGTTTTCATTATGTAGCTGTACTTGTCTGCCTAAATTTTAATCTAAACCCCCCTAATCTTTCCAGTTGCAGGCAAAACTGTAACCATTTTACTTAAAATAGTGTATTGATAGTGGTAGCCCAAAAGTGAACCTGGGGTAGTTCTACCTTCATTGTGAGTCGGATAACTCTTGACCTGAATATTAATATAACCTCCTTTTAAGATATATTTGTGTCTACGTAGCATTTTCGTTACAAATTAGTGAAGTAAGCCAAAGGAAATGTATTGATGTATTCTCTGCATTTATAGGAACACGTGAAAATTGAGCTTTAAGCATTTTGCATCAGAATCTTTCATTTCCTTATTAAGAACCATACTTTATATGGGAAATACTTTAAACCAACACAAAATTAATTAAATTTTGTTTCTCCTTTCTTTCTTTAACCTCTTCTTTTTTCCAGTATTTTTTTTCCCCTTTGGCTTTTTATATTTCTTTTTCCTTCTCTTCCCTCCATCTGTCGCTATTTTCCTGCTGCCCTTTTTTTTTTTTTTTTTTTAAGAGAGAGAGAGATAGGTCGCTGTGTGCAGAATAGTAGCTAGTAAGTAAGAGTTGACTACTATTTGAGAAATACCATGTTTGGAAAAAACCCATCATTTAAGTGGTACCTTTCAAAATAGTTAAAAGGTTGCATATGGAAGGCAAAAAATCAAAATAGCAAACAAACTAGACTAAAAAATCAATCAAAATGTCCAAAGTTAAAACCAAATAAAAGAAGGAAGAAATAATGCCTTTGTTACTAAATGAGTCTAGGACAGTCCTTAAACACTTGTTGAATTTAGACGGGACCCTTCATCTTAGAGGAAAATCTATTGCCAGTTTCACTGCAGAAATTGAGAGCAAGACCTAGTATCAGCATGCTACAAGGCAAGATGTAGTTTCCCACATCGTTGCGTACAACATGACTCAATCATGAAGACTTTGGGAGAAATACTAACCACCTCCCAGAACGATAAGGGAAGCTGCCATTTGGGCCTTTTTATGACTCTGTAGTGACTGACCTCCCAGAGTTTTCTGAAGGCAGCTGTTTTCTTTACTGGTTTCTGGAGGTTTTCAAAGCAAATCATTGCTAGATTGTACTTGGAGTCTTTAACATGTCAGTGACAGGCTTGGGTCCTGCATTTCAGGAGCGATGGTAGTGTAATAGTTAGCTTGGCAGGGGGAAGAGAAGAGAAGGAAGAAGTAGATGGGGACGGGAGAGGAATTATGGCCAGAAAAAAATGCTTGAAAGGTCAGAGTGGGCTGTCTGCTGCTTTTCTTTCCCTTACTTTTTCTCTCCATCATTCTCTTTCTTGCAAGAGATTCCAGGGTTTAATGGTTGGGAAAGGGGAGAGGACCTCCTCCTTTCAAATTCCTTTTTGTAGTTCTCTGCAAATTACCCCACTTTTCCCTCAGACTTGGGACAATACAGATGAGATTGGGCATGTGTAACGCTTATACTGCCAAATCTGTGTTAAAATCTTACTGTAAAAGTGGTGTGGTCAGGCCTTCCTCACTCATATTTTAGTCGTGTAGACAAATAACATTTTGAATTTCATTAAGTTGCTTTAACTTGATATATGTATCTGCATTAACAAGAGCAAGGCTATAATTACAGTATGATTTTGGAATGGTATTAGTTGTAAGGAGATATGCAGGAGACAATATTTATAGTGAAATACGCTTTAAGATTCTTCTAGAATTGGGATTGTCTTGAGACAAGGCTTTTTTTGAATTCTTTTTTTTTTAAAAAAAGGATTACTTTCTTTAAGTGTCTGTTAAGAAGTGGGCAAACAGAACTGGTATTCTGTCTATCCCAATAATTAATTTGATCTGTATTTTAAGTGACTTTAGTCTTCTATACTTTCAGGAAAAAAAACTTTTTTTTACTTCAGAGAATGTCTAGGTTAGAGATACTTTATATTGGCCTGGTATGTTGCTGTATAGCAGGAAGAATAGCTATATGTATTAATTTAATTACATCTAGTATTAAGATTAATATTTTGAAAGGCTTTGTTTAGCAAAGGTTTTATGTTCCTCTGATTTTTTTTTTTTTCTTTTTCTCCCCTCTCTCTGTGGTATTAGCTTTAAAAGGCCAAATTACTACTCTAAGTCAGAATAAATAACTTTCAATTTTCCATAGGAGCTGAAGTTAAAAGATGAAGAATGTGAAAGGCTTTCTAAAGTGCGAGATCAACTTGGACAGGAATTGGAAGAACTTACAGCTAGTCTGTTTGAGGTTTGTTGGAGTCTTCGATGTGATATACTTAAAGGAAGCTGAGACAGATGTTTTATGTAGAATCAGTATATTGTATGCTGAATTTTTCTGCAATAAGCTTATAAAGGGATTTGTGTCCTGAAGACCCGGGTGTGTTGAAGTAGAGGCTTAAGAGCAAGCAGTAGACTTTTCACTTAGATGAAAGAGACCTTGTTGAGCTTGTCAATCTGCCTAGATACAAAACGAAGAAAATAAGGAAAATATATCAGAAAACTTAAAACTATTTAGGCTTATTTTTTGGCATAACTATTTTGAGACAGCTTCTCTGTCTGACAACAAGGCTATCTAGATAAGAGCTAAACTTGGGGTTGCCATGGTGACTAAATAAAAAAATAACGTAGTTCCAGATCAATGGAGGTAGCAAGTACATGACTTAACCATGCTTTCAGCTTTTGAATTTTGGGTCTGGCAGCATGCTACTCCCACAAACTTGAAAAGAAACATTAATACTGAGTGATGCACCAGGGTGGAACCTGGTTACCAAGTGAGAAGCCTGAACTTTAAGTGGAACCTTTTCATTTGAGAAAAAGGCGGTAGCGCCAGCAAAGATTGTGCACTTGTATTACATAGAAAAAAATCTTAAATCCATACTTGAAGCAGGATCAGTTCTCATTTTATCATAGGAATATATATAGGAATGCCTAGAGGCTAAATTGTGATACCTATAACTGTCAGAATAAATTTCATAATCCAGAGATGATTTATATGTTTACCAAATTGTAAGTATTGGTTTTCAGCATATGCATAAAGGTACAACATCAGGTATGTTTTACAAACAGTATTTAAACCTATGATGTTGCATTGGTGTAAAAGTGCTATTAAAACCTTGAAAATACTGACATTCAAAAATCAAATTACAAACTGCTCTGTGCGTTGGCAACACATTTTATTTCATCATCCCAGTAGGGCAAAGTTACTGAAAATATTAAGCAGTTCCTGTGTATAGAGGATAAATGGGAGAGTGGAAAGGTACTTTTTAGCATAAATACTTGTGTGTGTTGGGGGGGAGGAAAATGTGGGGCAGGTTTTTTAGCTGTAGAGGAATAAAAATAAAATCATCGGTGAAATTTTATATTAATGACACTTTATAACTTAGAACAATGTTACCAATTTGTTAAAGCTGTGTTTGAAATATAGCGTATTAGTAATAATTAATTGAGTTTTAATTATTCAGAACTCCCAACTGTTGTGGGCATGTCACTTGAATTTTCTTTTGTGATTTGATTTCACTAAGAGGCCCTGACAAAACACAGTGTTGCGGTTTCTTGATTTTTGCACTGGGATCTACAGCCCTTGAATTCATCTTCTATTCTGAATCCCACTAATTGCAGTGACCATATAAGTGGATATGCTGAAGCTTCTATTAATGCATCTCAATAGAGGATCGAGACTTGTTTTGCACAGCTGGGTGTATATATTACATTATTACACTGTAATAGCACTGTAACATGCTTTGCTTTCAAAGGTGCATCACTAAGCAGAAACTGCATGGTCAATGTTAAATGTATTTGTACACATTGTATAAATGTGTATGTTCCCATTCCTGCATGTGTCTGTTGTTACTTAAGAGAATTTTACAAACCCATATTATACAGCTGTGTTGTATGCCAGTGGGAGTCAGATCTTTTGGTATGATGATGTATGAACTTTTTTGTTCTATTTATATAGCGTCCAGATACGTGCTAGGCGCTTTACAGATATGAGAAGGATCGTATTCCAAGTAATTTAGTTGGTGGCTCTGATCTTTCAATCTTTGTTGCCTTCAGTAAGTACCAAGTAAGAACAGTAATTTGATCACAGGCGCAAATTGCTGGATCAGAGCCTAAACAAATACATTATGCAGACAAAAGGCTTAGAGGTATGAGGTAAAAGGATGTTTAAAAAATTCCCAGTCCTTTTACACTTTCTTCTTTATTGGTTTAGCCTTGTTTCTTTACTTGGATTGGTTTTTAGTGCTTTTTCTGTTCTACTTCAGAAATGTTTATTAATCCATGAACTATTTTAAGCTGTTGCTTCGTCTGTTTTATTGATGGTAAAAATTTAGACTTCATATTTGTTGGACCAGTTCCTTCATGCAAAACTTATAGTTGACTATAACTGGTTATTCTGGCTAGAAGAAGGGAGAAGTTCTTTTGAATGTGCTACTGTGCTCATGTTACTTTTGTTGCTGCTGGTTGAGTCTTTCTCTTGGGGGTCAAGGAACTTGACTTGTCAGCCACTGAAGCGTAACTGGAGCCTGGCGTCCATGACAGGTATTGTTCCTGCTGGAGGGGGTTGGGTGGAGTTGCTGAATTTCTGAATCTGGGCTCAGGACCAAGGGGAAGAAACTTGGTGGGCCAGTGATGAATCCAAATGATAGATTTGTAGATATTTTTTGGTATGTAACTATTTAATTTCAGATTCTTGCACAACTTACTATTCACAACTAGTCTCTGTGAAGCAAAAGTATGTCCTTAGTTTTTGGTATTTTTACTGGATCTTGTAAATTTGTGTGAAGCATTTATACTAGCTAAACGTTTTTTATAGGAAGCACACAAAATGGTTAAAGAAGCTAATGTCAAACAAGCTGCAGCAGAAAAGCAGTTAAAAGAAGCACAGGGAAAGGTGAGTTTTTTCCGACTTGCTTGCTTTGTCTTTTCACATGGTTATAAATCTAAAGTGTGAATCATAAAGCTGTAAATAGAGCATTACCTGTATGCATTATTAAAATATATACTAAGTTGTTTTGGGTTACCTTGACATATTCTTAGCTAACACCTGTGGGCATAGAGCTGGTGTTTCAGCATCATATCAGATAGCAAGGTGCATAGGAAGCCAGTGTTACTACAGTGTGCGATTGCATAGGCATCTGTGTGTTAGTATTTTGGAAGATGAAGTTTTGATTTGAACCAACATAACTGGAAATTTTGTTAAATGATTTAACATAATTCATAGCCTAATATGATATTTTTGTTTGTTAATGACTTTATTCCTGCCCCCCAAGATCGATGTCCTCCAGGCTGAAGTAGCAGCATTGAAAACACTAGTACTGTCTACTTCACCGACATCTCCAATTAAGGAGTTTCAGTCTACTGGAAAAACTCCTTTTAAGAAAGGCCATGCAAGAAACAAGAGTACAAGCAGTGCTATGGGTGGCAGTCATCAGGACCTTACCATGATGCAGCCAATTGTAAAAGACTGTAAAGAGGTAACAGTACAAGGATTGTCCTCTTTTTGCTGATAAGCTGGCTTTATTGTTTTGTTTTACTCACAGTGAATCTAGTATATATTAAATCTTCATGTAATACTGACTATTTTAGAGATATTTTTCATTAATGAAAGAAAACTTTTCTTACATACTAATAGGTGGTGATTTTTCCAAATCTTGTTTACCTTTAAACCATTAAGGGAGGATGAGGTAAGATTTGAAATACTGGAATCAATAATTTAAAGATGGGAATTTAAAAAAAAAAAAAGAAAAATACAATATAACTGAATGATAAGTCCTGGTGGCTTTTTACAAAGTCCATCACCAAACTTTCATAAATGTTTCATAAACTGTCATAGAAAAAAGGAAGAGTCATTTTATAGATCAATAATGGGTGAAAGAGGCCAGGAAAAAGATGGAATCAATGATTTATTAGAGAACAGGAGGAGAGTTACCACTGGAGTCCCAGAGGGGCCTGTGATTTTCCTTAATCTACTCATGTAATTGAAAATGAGTAAATAATGAGGTGACAGGTTGGTGCTTGAGTCCTTGGAATGGTAGTAGCAAAAAGTGACCGAAGAGTTGAGAAGGACCTCATGGTACTGAGTGGTTTGTAGAATAGCAGATGAAATTCAAAATCAATAAATGAGAAACGAGGCATCTAGGAGAAAATGTAACTCTAGCAGACAGGCAGTTGTGGACTTAGAAATAGCTACATTGTGCTAGGAAAAAAAAAAAAAGTTGTGTACTTGTGGATAATTCTCTGAAAATACCATCTCAGTGCTCAGTGGTGGTCAAAGACCCACAGAGCCTTAGAAGTTGTTAGGAAAGGAATAAATAGCAACAGAAAAAGCATTATATTGCTCTATAAACATGTAGTAAATGTGTGTGTCTATGCATGCAGCTATGATATCTTCATCTTGGAAAGGACATACAGAAAATATGAGGAAGTGTGACATAGATGGTCAATCCTGTGGAAGTATTTCTGTGTAGGAGAGACACTTGAGGCAGAACAAAAATCTATACAATCACAGGTGACATGGGGAAGATGAATGGTGAACAAATATTAATAATTTCTTGTCATAAGAAAACTCTGGAAGCTAAAAGGAAAATCGTTTTCAGTCAGTACATAATGAACCTTTACAACTCATTGTCACGAGGTAGCAAGATTAAAAATATAAATGTGTTCAAAATGTAGTCATGCAAAGTGACAAAAGAAAAGCCTGTCAAGGTACATAGAAGATAGATATGACATTTGGCTTAGGAAGCTTCTTTAACTACAGATTGCTAGAAGTTGGGAGACTGTAAAATTAAGACACATCATTGTCTTTCCTCTCATACTGCTCTGCAGCCAGCTCTGTGACTGCTTGCCATTGTCAGAGGGGTAACAGGCTAACTGGAACTGTAATGTGATTCACAGCGGCCATTTTTATGCTTTGTCTTGTCAGTCATCATTAAGTGCATTTATACTATACACCTTTTTACTATAAATCTAGAAAATAAAGGCATTTTCCAGTTCCTGTTTCATACTTGGGCTTAGGAGGAAAAAAAAAAAAAGCTTTACATCCTGCCTGCCCACTTTCACTGGTGTCCAGGATGTTTTCCTTATTAAAATTAAATCCTTGTTGCTCTTCAGAAAGATGCAAACAAAAGGGGAGAGCTGGGATGGAATCCAGTTACTTTGTAAGCATCACAATGAGGTCATGACTCAATGAAATTTTCAAGTGTCGGGCAAGAGCGGGAGAAGGGAGAAATCCGTTTTGCCTCAATTTCTTGTGGAGAGAAAGTGGTGAATGTGAAGGACATGCTGCAGAAGGTCCAGTTTGCCTGACATTTTTCTGTAGTTCAGTCTCCTTTCTGTTGGCTGCATAAGGAGACACTTCGAGGCTGATTGAGGCTGCTCAAAACAGGTGACTGTTTCTTCCAGTGACAGCCCAGGGAATCAGTAAGAAACACACGAATTTTCCACCCACTGGGACTTGAGTCTTTCTGTCTCTCTTCTGAGCAGGAATATTTAACGGAGTGCAACATGGGGTGAAGAAAGCAAGACTGCCTCTGGCAAGGTGGTTAGGACATTGTTTTAAGCAGGGGAGACATGCCTTCCCTACTGCTTTCGTTATCCAATGCTTTGTGGTTTTGTTTACTGCTTTTGTTTATTGTTGGTCTAAGGTAAATGTTTTTGCATCTCTGGGGGCTGGGTCTGAAACCCTAGTTCTGTCCCCTTCTTGCTAAATGTTCTTGCCACTGAGTCTTTGCCTGTCGTTCTTCTGATTTTGAGTGACTCGGCTTCAAAAGAGGGGCTGAGAGTACCCTTGCTCTCAGCAGTGTGGTGTGGGGAATATAGCTTTGGACCCTTATGGAGATTCTACCACCCAGAGATGAGCATTTCGAGATGTTAGATGGAGTTGGGTGTAAAATACATGTCAACTCTGAGGTTTCTTTGTGGGATGTAGACAGAGTTAGAGTGGCTGTCTGCTAAATTGCAGTGGAGCCAGAAAGGTGCCAACATCCCAGAGAAATATTTCCTAGCATGTGGGACTAACCTCTAGGATAAGTAGACATGTCTAATTAATTTAGGTATTAACAGGATTTAGGCAAGCTGAATAGCTGCCTGGATCATAGGCAGGCAGGTAGCACCCCACCCACTCAGCGTAAATGCTGATAAATGCATCAGTGTTGTTCAAAGAGCTGAAATGTTTCTCTGATGTTGTATTTTACTATAAAATGAAAGCATTAAAAGTTTAACTAGAATTATTATTACAATTGGCTGTTTATTTAATTGCAGATTATCAAAACTTTGATCTAGTGAAAGCACAAGTAGAGACATGTAGCACACAGTGTAGGTTGGAAAGGAAAAGCATCAAGCTATATTCCCTGAGCAGTTTTTTCAAGGCAGCTTTTTTATAAATTGCAGGTTTGGGTGAAATTGAGTTAAATTTAGAAAATAACTGAGTTAATAGGAAATGCATCTTAATTTTTAGAATCATATAGTACAAATCAAAAGTGGCTTTTGTCCGCTGATATCTCTTGATTATATTCATTTTAAAGCCAGACCTGAGATGGGTTTTAAGGTATGGGAAATATTCCTTTAGGGAGCGAGTTACACCTATTGAATTTCATTGTACAATGAGGTTGGTGGCTTAGCAACCAGAACATTTATGGACTAGCTTAATTAAGATGGTTTTTCCTGATTGCACTTGGGTGTAAGGCAAGTAGCTCTAATGGAAACCAAATCAGTCTAATTTTTGTAGGTTCTTTTTCAAGGAAAAAAAAAACCAAACCAAAAATTACAAAAGAACTCCCCAAAATATACACATAAAAGAATGGCAAGGTGCTGGGAGCTCAGAGAAGGGGTAATGCGTGAGGAAGGAGCAAAAGGCTGAAAGAGCTTGGTTCAAAGCAGTGTACTGCTCTTTTCAATAGGATTAAAAATCAATTATTTTAATTTTTAGCATGTTATTTTCCCTCTTTCATTATATCATCTATATTATCTGGTTTTAATATTACAAAATTTTAAAATCACATCCTGGCTTATCTTTGGCCTGCAGCATACATCCCTTCCTATAGCTTTAGGTTTGGGTTTTAGGAGTATAGGTCTGCTATAGTACAAGAAAGGGATTTAACAACCACTTGGAGGGGAAAGGTGCTGAAGTCTGTGTCAGCAGAATGTCAAAACCAGTCTGAGTATGGTGGTGCATCTGAGGAGCAGGATGGTATTGCATATCCCATTGGGGGCTGGCATTAGTCTTTTACGTTGGATTAGGAGTATGCATTGGAAGCACTCATCCCCACTCTGCTTGGTTCATGTCTTGGAGCAGTATTGGTGCCCGTGAACAGGATCCTTCTCAAGTAATCCTAAACCAGATGATGTGCTCTGGGAGTATCTCGGTGTGCTCCAGCTGTTAGTGGGTAGCCAGCTACCCCCACGTCCCATAACGCAAACGTGGATTTTGTTAGCAACCTAGTACCAGTCTCCTGAATGCCAGACTGTATAGGTGCCTTCCCACTGCTAAACTGATCTCAGCATGGAGATGACAAAACAAGGTGTTTTCAAAGCAGGAAGAGATGGGTTTATCTAACACAGAGGATGCTTACTCCTAGCATGATTTAATGGGTTGTTTTACTATTTCTCCATTGACTAGAGGAGCTGTGGGGGAAGCTATGGGGGCTCATAAATCATGCCCAGTGAATATCCTTGCCTTCCTGTTGTACCATGGTATAGGAGAGAGTTTGGGCATAAAGATGAAAAATGAAGAATAAGAGTATAGTTTTAATTGATTTGTAGATTGGATTCCTGTTTTCCTGTGTTAGTATGTTTTATTTTAGCGTTCCGATAGCAGTGTGTTATATTCAGATGCAGGGTCAACGTATAAGATGTCTAGGATTGCATTTGTTTTCTTTAGATTTCTTTGCTTTTCTGTAACTCACAGAAATGGAGATGGACTAAAATACTGTAATGAAGATGCATCAAGAAGAAAATTATTTTTTGGCTTTTTTCTGTTAAACAATCAGTTAAGTTTTTCAAAGCTATTCTGGAAGCTTAGGAAATGGGGGAGGGGTAATTCGCTTGTCCGTGGTGTTGTGGTGACCAGTCAAGGCATTATCTCTGTGTCTTGAAAATGGTATGTTTTGATTTGCTTATATTTACAGTCTTAGGAAAGTGGATTTAAGAAGGTGTTCATAGCTGGGGCACGATAGCATTCTTTCACAGTGCAATGGAAAGCATTTAGTTTTAATGCTCATTATTTACCTGTGGATATTTGCAAATGATAGACACTAGTGTGATAATTGCAGTACTAAAGTATGTGAATCTTTGTGTGTGTTCTAGGCTGACCTATCTTTGTACAATGAATTCAGATCTTGGAAGGATGAGCCTACTATGGACAGAACATGTCCTTTCTTGGACAAAATTTATCGGGAAGATATTTTTCCATGTTTAACCTTCTCAAAAAGTGAGGTAATGGAAATAGTCTAAATGTGGTCGCTGACGCTTTTCCCTTAAATACGTTACATGAAGCCAATAGACTGTATTAAAATTTTTTTCATATGAAGTTTAACCATTTTTGTTTCATTAGAGTGTGACAATTTACAGTGAAGTGCTGACGTTTAGTCTGGAGTATTGAAATGATAATTTTTTCTTAACTAGTTCATTTATGCTATTCCAGATAATGGCCTTTTTAGGTCTACTCCTTCACATGTTACTCCTGTCTGGCAGAATCCTTCACATGTTATTCCTGTCTGGCAGTTTGTAGGAATGGATGGTGGGTTTTTTCCTAATATTTCAAAGATACTGCTTTGTAGAAAGTGTCCGGTCACTGTCTCTTGTTTATATAGGGGGCAGTAGAGACCAATATATTTAATTTTGTGGACCAGTTTTCTCTCATATCAACCAGAGCAGGCTGCAAGCACAGTCTGGGTGTTTTCTTGAAGAGAGGTTTGAGTTACAAAAATTAGACTTCAAGATTTGATATGATTCAACAGGGGCAGTTTGGGAATATGGTTGTAGAAGAAACGAATTATGAGACTTTTTTTTCCTTGTATTATTCCCACATACTCTCCCATACAGAGGAAAGACTGGAGTTTTACCCATTCTGGGAATAATGTGGAACCGATTCCAGCTCCAACTGCTTCACTTAGTTTTTGTTCTCAAGCAGTGTTTACAGGCTGTAGCTGTGATACCAGTCTCTAGGGGAAAGGGACCATATTCTTAGATATTTATTAAAATAAGAATAACAATTTTTAAAGCCGTCGGACTTGATATTTTTTTTCCCCCAATAAAACTAAACACCTCACATGGAAAATGCTGTGTTTTCTTCGTAATGTTTATCTGTTGTATGTTCTTTTCCCATGCTTTTCATCTGCTGTTACTTGCTGGCCATAAGCATGCATGATCTTTTAGTTAATTGTATACTAGTTCATTATGGTTGCTGTATAGCATCATATGAACCTCTCCCACTAAAAAGTTTAGTTGGTTACTATGGGAATTGAATTGCTTCTGCAGTATGTGTAAGTAGGCCATCCTGTTGTCTTTCCCAGCAATTTCATTTTGTTTTTTTTTCTGCTTCAGTGGTGATATAATTACTGTAGATTTTTATTTCCTCTTAAGAAAAGAATGAGGCTTCTAGCACTTGTCAGTTATATCAGTTATTGTTTCCAGATGCTGTGCTTAGTGAACAACTTCTTTTTTCACTGGAATATCGATAAACTAATGTGCAGTTAAACCAAACCATAAACTACACATATATTGTGTTTTTGAATAATTGGAAATGCAGTTATCTGAATGGTTGAAGTATTACATTAACTGTCAGTAGCCTCTTGTGTATATGTGTAGTGTTTTGCTTTTGGGAGGTGGCAGAGAAAGACTATTTTATATGGACTACTTTAATAGTAACATTCTGTTTTTAAAATATTCAAAGTGCAATAGAAAAATATCTTTATTACTCAGGTAGGAACCATAGCACAGAATTATTTCACTAATAACATAAATTGCACCTTCTTTTAAATCAAATAATGGCTATTACTTGTCCATACTTAAACAGTAGTCTTGGGCAAGCGTTGAGTCCAATCAAGCAAAATGAGCATATTTCTAGTGTCTTATGATTGTGTGTTTAAAAGAATTAACACAAAAAGCCTGAGCAAAGCTGCACTTTGTTTCATGAAGTTGATGTTTTAACTAGACTTAGTGTTTAAAAGCTGCAGCTGGCTTTTCTATATATTATATTGGCTTTTCTTTATATTGTTCAGTCTTGCTTGTTTGAACACCTTTCTAAAGCTATCTTTGGCTGAAAGACAGTGACATAATATTTACTTGTTTTTTGCAAGATAAGGAAGCATGCTACATCATTTTGTGTTTCCATAGAACACAATAAAATCAGCAATTTTTTTAAATAAACAAAGTTTGTGCCGTATCCAGTCTCTGACAAGAACATTGCATGTACAAATGTGTGTGCTATTTGAGCTTAAGAGGAATGACTGAAAATACAGTTAGCATTTTAAACATGCTTGACTATATTCCCAGCTGTAAAGGCAGTTACCTTGCCTCAGGGAGGGCAGGGTTATTTGGAGGGCAGAATTTAAACAGGAGACTGGAAATGGGACCTCTTGCTCACGATGAAAGCAAAATCTCATTTGTAATTGAATTTCTATTTGGTGAGTTGATTTTTTTCAGTGTTCCTAACTTTACAGAAGAAGAAATATGTCACTGCTTTGAGGCAATGGATAACGCAGAGCTGTTTTTAACTGCTTTCTAAATTTCTCTTGCAGTTGGCCTCAGCTGTTCTGGAAGCTGTTGAAAACAACACTCTGAGCATTGAACCTGTTGGCTTGCAACCTGTTCGATTTGTGAAAGCTTCTGCAGTTGAATGTGGGGGACCAAAGTACGTTAAGCTAACAGACAGAGGGGAAATCTTGACTCATTTGAGATAACTTTTGGATTGAGAAAACTGCTATCAACTGATCACCTCAGTCAAATTTGTGTATTTAAACTTTATTTCCTAAAATCTAAGACTTCAAGATTGCTGTTACAAAATTTTATGGGAAAAGTAAGCAACTAATAAATTAAGCTTTAAAAAAGACGAATATAGAACAAACCTTTAGGACAAATTCCCTTTTTTGGGAGAGCTGTTTACTTCACTTATGATGCATTGACTGCAAAAGTAACATTCACTTCTTTGGAGAAGACCATCCTGATACTTAAAACAGGTGCTTTTGAACTAGGGGCTATCACGTGGAAAGCATCATGAAAGAAATAGGCATTGAAGTAGTACAGGCTGAATATTGGACATCTGGAGTATTTGTGGCATAAGAAATTTAGGACATACATAGCACGCTGACAAAGGTAGCTGAAGGATTTGAGAGGAGATATATAGAGTAAATCCTCTGAATTTGAGCAGGAGGAATGTAATGAAGTGGTAATGAAGGTGAAGGTGAGTTTGAACCTAAAGCAGGAAGTATGCTTGAATGACAGGAAGGTTATTTTAGAAATTTTTGAATGGTCCTAGAGTAATCTGAAGCAAGACTTGTTGTCAGGTACTGATACAGACATTAAAGTTAGGTCGCACTGGGGTTTTGATGGATGTGGAGGAGAAGGAAGGGATTTGTAGTGTGCTTTAGTGTATGTCAGGGTTAGAGCAAACAAGGTCAGTGTTAATCTGGAGCCTTCCAAATCTTGAGAAAGCCTTGACTTTTCTGTTGGAGATCTTTTGGACAAGTTGACAATTCTCTCTGTAATGCTTGTTTTGACAGAGCTCAATTTTCTGATAGAAAACTTGCATCAAAATGTTTTCATCTGGCTTTTAAGATTTTTTTTCTTTCTCATTGCTGTTGTTTTTTAGTTCTTGTTTTTCCTCTGTCTTTGAGTGGAAGAGAATATATTTAACATATTTCAAAATGTTTTACTTTCTCTTTAAAGAAGCTGTATAAAATGAAAATTGTGTTTTATAACTTAGTATTTGATCCTTTCTAGCCTAAAAAATTCAGGCATTTGTATATTCTTCAGCTTACCCCTGTCACCAGAAAACACACTTTTTGAGCTGTAACAGCCCCTCATCAGAAGGGTCTACCACCAATAATGGAGCTAGTCAAGGGGTGGTGACTTCAAGTCCAAGATACACCATTGTGAGCTGCGTTACATGAATGCATTAGAGAATCAGGACAGCCAGAAGCTACTGAAACGAGTCATCTGTCATTAAAGAGCAATTGGCAAATTGATTTAAAAGCATTGGGGTTCAAGCAACTTCCCTACGTCTTGACATGATGAAATACTTACTCAAAAACAGGAGACTCGGTTGCATCATTCAGAAGTTTCATGAGATTTTTAACCTATTTTCTCCAGTGTAAGATAAATTTTTAATAAGAACTTATGTAATCCTTAAGTAGTTGGCTAGGTATAGATTAATGTTTTGAAATGACTATGCAAAAATTGTAATTTAGTTACTTTAGATGTATCAAAAGGCCAGGCGTACTCCTTTCTCCCTTTTTCTGCTGTCATGTAGTGACAAAAACTTTTGTGGTATTGCATGTAGATAAGTGATAGGTAAGGAATATGCAGTATTTAAGTGTAATTTGACAGTATATGTGCTTTGCCTTATATATGATTACTGGCACTGAATGGGAAACAGGTGTTCCAGTTTTCACTGAATCAGAGTAGCAGTTTCACATTTTTTATTTTTATATGGTGCAAAGCACTATTTTTATTGAAACCATGTTCTTAAATAGGTAAGAAAATATAGACAAACTGTAAATAAATAATAACAAAAACTAGAGTAATGTTTTTAAAGGAATTATTTTATTGTACAATTGCCTGGGGGATGGGGGAACAGATGCATAAAATAGCAGGTAATAGCCCAAGAGCAAAATAAGAAGAGGAGGGCGGAGAGCTTGTGATAATAATGAAGAAAGGTTCTTGATATACAGAAGTTATTGAATGGTGCCTGTGATGGTGTGTAGTAAGTGCTGCCTTAACGAAAGACAGCTGGGTTTCCCCACAGGATTCGAATAATTGTCCCCATGGGGAACAAAGCACTAAGCAGCATGTGTGCCGAACAGCGCAGAACTGAGTCATTAGTAGTAACCGTCAGGCCAGCCTTTAACCTGGTGTGATGGAAGATAACATATAGAAGGTAATTCTATAGCCAGAAGGAAAAAAGGGCTTTATTTTCCTAGTGTTGAAAGTCTGTCTGTCTTCTCAAAAGCTTGACTGAAATTGCGATCAGCTTGCTTCAGCTACTGTAGGATTTCTTGGATCAATGGACTGCTGTCAGTCCTCATAAATTGTATGGAAAATCATATACACTCTTCAGTTTTCTCCTGTCTTACATGGTTCTGTGGACCAGCTGCAGGCTATTTAAAGGGGCCTCTGAGCCACTGTTTGGAACCACAGAAGCTTAGTAATTTTTGTTTCACTTTTGAAATGCTGCTTTTTCTTAGACTCCCTAATTTTGTGAGGTAGAAATGGAAGGGAGAAGAGCCAGCAGCTTTTAAAATCAATGAAACAGTGGATGCCATGACAACCCAGTTCATCTGAGATGCTGCAGTATAGAAATTCCAAATAAATAAAATTCCCATTTTATTTACATTTATTAAGATTGTATTAGTAGCAGTTTCTTCAAGAGATTCAAACCTTCTTTTTCCAAATAATGTTGGAGGAAATTTTTTAAAATTCTTTACCTTTTCCTGAATTGTTTTTTGGGAAGAATTTGTGGTGACTACTGACCTTTTCTTGTTCCTGAATATGACATACTTGCAATACACCAGAAATAGTAAATTTGATTATTTTACCATCACTTTTTATAATGGTAATGGAAAGAATTATTGCCAGGCAGCCTATTTTCCTTTGTCTCAAATTATTTTATACTCTGAATATAAAATACGATTTCAATTTGGGCATAAATGCAAAGCTGGTCTTAGAACGCATCTGAGAGAGGCTTCAGAGAATTGACTGCTATTCTGTAGGGCTCATACTTATGATGAAATGCGATATCAAGCAGAATTTTTAAAAAAATCTGTTTACTTGTTGGCATCAACTGATAATTTAAACAATGTTTATTTCATGTATGAAGAGTTAATTAAAGAAATCCCACCGTTCCAGAGTTGTCAAGCCAGCTTGAATTAGTGAATATGGAAGTACATGACCAGAGCTGAAGAAAGTTTTAAAAATCAGAAATGCATCATGATGCACTGGTATTGAAACAAAATTAGTCCTTGTGGAACTAAAATAATTGACAACATAATGTAATAATTGCAACTTGTAAAATGAAGGCAGAGACTCAGGTATCTGTGCCAATATGAAGCAATTACATTAACACCTTAAACACATGCAGGTGTTTAGACATTAATGTCAGGTTTGTTTAGTAAATCATGCAAACTTTATGTTTTGTAGGAAGTGTGCTCTCAGTGGACAAAGTAAGTCATGCAAGCATAGAATCAAATTAGGAGATTCAAGCAGTTATTACTACATTTCTCCTTTCTGTCGTTACAGGGTAAGTAGATTTACTGTGATTTCATTTTGAGTAGTAATTTAGTTATTTTTCCATACCATTATACAAAATGATATTAACCACCATTATTTTTATATGGGTTCAGATCACTTCTGTGTGTAACTTCTTTACATATATTCGATACATCCAGCAAGGACTATTGAAGCAGCAAGATGGTGAGTAGGAAATTGTATTTGGCATATATAAATAGAAATTTACATAGTGCATGTGCCTAAAACTTTCTATCTGTGCACAATAGCAATGACCTGACATTACAGGAAAGCTATCTGTTGGTAGTCATTGTTGTAATTATGAGAATTTGGTGATATCCCACACTCCAATAAAGTTTTTTTTTTTAAGAAAAATTCAAACGCAGTGATTTTTAGTCCATCTAAAAACCTCTTATGTTATTCAGTAAGAAATGTTATGAAAAATTCTGTAACGAGAGGATTTAGTCACAGTTTTTCTACACGGTATTAAAAATACAAGGCTCTTTCACAGAATATGGAGATACTTTAAACCAAAAAAACTTCAGTTTGGTTTGATCTGGGCCATTTTTTCTTCTTTCACTTGGTGTTTTGGTGTATCTTCTCATTTTGTGTATTGAGAACTCAGACAGCCCTTCTTGCCAGACTATCTTTCAGGGAGAACTGGCAAGGGTGACAATATTTTGGGTTAAATTGTAAAAAAAATAAGCAAAATACTGTAATCGTTTGTCTGAGTGCAGCTGAGATGTGAGGTCTCGGTCATTGCTGTGGCATGTCAAAGTCTCTTGATTAGGGCTGTGGTGGTAAATGTATCTGACAATGTAAGGCTTGATTATCCCCCGCCCCCAAAAGGATATGTCTTTTTTTACTGAATTGCTTCAGGCTGTTTTGTTTTTTCCCCCACCAGAGTTACCTGTTCGCTTTGTTCCTGTCAGAATAGCATATCGAACAACTGCCTATTTAAACTCTGTCTGTGCAGTAATTCAGAAATTTGCTTAACTGTGCTATTCAGTTTCAGTATGTCCATACAAAAGAAGACGGTTATGAAAATGTACGCACTGTATACCTAGTTACTTAATTTTGGAATTTAAAAATATATTGCTTGTTGGAGTTGTAGTTATTGGTCTTCATTTGCAAGACTATTTTACTTGTTTATCACTATAAAAGAAAATTTTGATCATTTGATTGTGTTTAAACTGTACACAATTGATTTAATTGTATTTCCTGTCCAGAGCAAAGAATATTGCCCAACAGCCTTCAGTCCAAGGTTTTTTGAAACAGACCATATCACAGATAGCGGAAGAAGTGTCATTAGCCCTGTGTCAATAGTTGATTAAAGAAATTGCTTTCACTTCTAAAATGTAATTTTTTTTTTTTAGTTCAGTTGCATTTTTGAAAGTAGAGTAAAATAGCATTGTAATGTTTATGGATGTCTGTGCTTTTCATTCTTCCAGTCTTCGAGTCTGTGTGGATTGGCTTCAGAATTTAGCTCCACTTTGCTCTACCTCACCTGTAGTCATCTCTTTGATGTTTCCCAATTTCAAGAGCTCAGTATTTTAGCTACACCCAAATCTTTTGTTTCCATTTCTAACCTGAAATATTCCTGAGCTGATAAATAGAGAGACTGTTCCTTACAAAAAATAATGCTGTTAACTTTCCGTGTCAATGGGAATAACTTTCATGGAATTCACCAGAAATTCACCTATTTCATACACTAAATTATGTTTAATAAAATCTTCAGATGGTGGTGACTTTTACGGATGTACTAGCGTTGCAGAATATCTTGAAAATGTGTTATTTAAGTTTTAATTTGGTTTATAGTTAAAAGGCTTTTACTTTGACTGTTGTGGTTTAACCCGGCAGGCAGCTAAACACCACACAGCGGTTCAATCACTCCCCACTCCAGTGGGATGGGGGAGAGAATTGAGGGGGGAGGGGGAAGTAAAATTCGTGGGTTGTGATAAAGGCAGTTTAATAGGACAGAAAAGGAAGGGAAAATAATAATAATGATAAAAGAATATACAAAATAAGTGATGCACAATGCAATTGCTCACCACCTGCTGACCGATGCCCAGCCAGTTTCCGAGCAGTGGTCGCCACCCCCTGGCCAACTCCTCAGCTTATATACTGAGCATGACGTCATAAGGAATGGAATGCCCCGTTGGCCAGTTTAGGTCAGCTGTCCTGGCTGTGCCCCCTCCCAGCTTTTTGCTGGCAGGGCGTGAGAAGCTGAAAAGTCCTTGACTATGTAAGCACTACTTAGCAACAACTAAAACATCAGGGCGTTATCAACGTTGTTCTCATACTAAATCCAAAACACAGCACTATCCCAGCTACTAGGAAGAAAATTAACTCTATCCCAGCTGAAACCAGGACGTTGACCAAAAGGACCTATATAGTTTCAACTAAAAATTGTTTACTTTGCTATTGAGATAAAGAAATTCAGTTAATATTTTTTTCCATCAAATAATAAAATGTTTTCAGCATTATCAGAATTATTTATTCTTCACAAGAAGTTTTGAAAGAACTTGAGTTTGGTGTTTCAGCTCAATTGTCATCTTTATTAAAAACATAGAATTTGCATTTGTAGCTTTATGCAAATATTTCAACAATACCTTTAGAAGGACGTAGGCACTCATGATAATTGTCTGCTTAATGCATTGCATGTATTTCTGCTCATGCACCATATAATTTTTGAGACAGAGGTCACTTTTGTAAAAAGTGGTTTTTTGAAATATGGTTGGGAAGACCTTGTAGTTGTTGCTCAGGTTAATAACCTTTGTAGTCATTCTACATCATGATCTTGACTGCATGGAAATTATTTTTGACTTGAATAACGATATACTCAATTTTGGTTTGTATTGCTATGCTGTCTAGAAGCTTAAGATATGCACTAGGCTCATCAAGTTTAGCAAAATACAGATGAAATTAAAAAAAAAGGTCTTTTTTCCTCCCCAATTTATTGCTGCTGGCAGATTACTGGTAGAAAAAAGAGGGAAGAAAAAAGATTACAAGTGGAAAAATTACAACAAAATTATAGATTCTGTGATGAAATAATTCTTATCCAACAAGTTCTACTTTTTTTCCTTGCAGTCTTTTAATTTTACAGAAAATGAGTCCAGGGGCAGGGCAATTAAAATGAGAAACAGCAATTAATTGAAGCTGACAAGTAGTACTGATGTATTTTTGTTCCCCAGTTAAAAAAAAAAATCATCTAAAATTTGGGGAATTTCTTATAGGACCATCATTTAGAATTTTTAAAATAAATACTTTAATAAATTTTGTCACAACCAAGCACAAATAGCCCTCACGCATATTAATTCTGGTTTTACTAGATGTTTGTTACTTCTGAAGTTCCCCTAAACTGATGTACAGTGACGCAGTCTGTATACATCAGTTGAAATAAAATATGAATTCAGTATGTTTAATGATATTTCTGTCTTTTTTAGTGGAACAGATGTTCTGGGAAGTTATGCAGCTGCGAAGAGAGATGTCACTAGCAAAACTTGGCTATTACAAGGAAGAGCTCTAAATCTTTTTACTCTTGCGCATGCATGAACTTCATTGAATATACATAATTAAAATTGCTGAATCTTTTTTTGTCACTTGATATTTATTTCCACAAAGTGGGTCCAAGATCTTTCTCCTTTTGCAGATTGCACTAAGAAGTACTGTGATTGTTTCAAACTGACTTATGCTGTACATGCATACATATAATACTTAGTTGAACAAATGTTGTAAGCACTTGCAGGTGTATTAGTGATTGTAATTTACATTTAAAAACAAAACTTCTGATTAAAGTGTTAGACTGAAGCAGTGTCTCTCTTCTGTTCTTTGTGATGCAGAACGATGTGAACCTCCCTGATCAGTCATTCCACAATGTAAAACTGAGATAATTCTATGAAGAGGGAATAAATGCCTGACATTTTCTTCATTGTAGTGTTTAGATACATGTATGTATCTCTCTAGGCATGTATGCCAATACAGTTAACAGACAAGTAGGAGAACCTGGAATTCTTTGAATTGCTGCTTTCCTATATTTTTCATTTTTAAAACAATGTAAGAAGAGAAACATATATAGTGAAGAGTCAACAGCATAATAAATCTGGGTATCTTCTCTCTAAAGTAGGGTGCTTTTCAAACATCAAGGAACAAAAAAATTACTTTGGTCACTCTTTGGTTAGAAATCTGACCTGATCCCTATCTGACTGCTAAAAACTTTCTCTTCCCCTCTAATTTCCTTTCATTAGAATTTTTTCATTCCTTTAAATGATTTTTTTTTCCCTCCTGCTTTTTTGGGATTTCCAGTTTCCAGTGTTTTATGCATCAATTTCCCACAGCTGTCCTTGAAATTGGAAAATATCCATTATGTGATTTCTTTAACATGCTGATGATAATTTCCATATCATGTTAGTAGTTTCTTCACACACACAATTTGCTACAAAGACAACCCAAAAAAGGATGATGGCTTCTTAAGGAAGATGTTTTTTCTGTTCAAGTGCTACTTTTGCACATCAAGTTCAAGTGGTCCTTTTTCCCTGGGCATAGTCTAAGCTGAAAGCAGTTGATTAGGTTACAAGGAACATGCTTGTGGGTATGTGGTAAACTTGCTATGTAAAAGCCCTTTTTGAAAAACACTAGGTCTTGATCATGACAGCCATTTATCACTTACAGATAAGATTAAAGCATTGGCAGGTAAACTGACAAACATTAGAAGTAAAGGCAAGTTTATATAGTTAGTTCTTTAACAAGAAGCATCTTAGTGGTTATAGATTTCTTTTGATGCGGAACAAAAATAGTATTATTCATCAGTGTCTTACTGGAGTGTTCTCTGTTTTCACAAAAGTAAATAGAATGAGCAGTGAAATTTAATACCATACTTGTGTTGCTTGCATGTATATATGCCTGAAAACACTTTGCAAGCCTTGACTTTGATCAGGCATTTCAATGTAAACATTAAACAAAACAATTGAACCTAAATATTTTACTAGTAGTGGAGTATGTCCAGCCCGGGCTATTTCGGTACTGATGAAATACTTTTATCAATCTCCTGTCACTGGGTACTAGTTCCTACTGTAGAAACCTAGAAGAAGTCTACCTTCAGTTGTTAAAACGTGGTTTATTATTTCAGTAATGCTAAGTGAGTTTTACTCACTCTTAGGAAACGAACTGTATTTGTTGGTATTATGTTTTATGTTCGGCTCATAAATGCTTTGTAAATGATTTTTAATCCTTAGTTTACATAATGAAATCAAACCATTTCCAGGATTAGCTACCAGTAGTTAAATGATAGCTGGTAGCTGCTGCAATTCTGACTTAATAATCCTTTACAAGTGTTGCTCATTCAAGCAGAGAGAAGGGGTCGTTTCTATACATGATAGTGTCAAGACATAAATGGTACCTAAAGTTTATTATGCTGAGGTGATTTTCTCACACTAGGGACTACAAAGATGTACCCAGTGTACTTCAGTAGTGATGACTGACTGGCTCGATTACATCAACATCTTGTAAATACTGATCAGCGTGCTTCTGTCTTCAAGGCCCTTCCCCGTATTTCTTTTCTATATTTTTAATATAAGCTGCCTATCACTCTGTCACTGTGAGTGTCTGGGGCTTGTAAAAATTGTGCAACAGTTATTTGTCTGGTGAATATAACTACTTCAGAAAATGGCCTTATTCCAGACTTCTTGACTTCACTGAAGCTTTTGTTCACAACCAAATGCTTCTTACGGATGCCTACTCAAAATGTCTGAATATTTTTCTCCTGTTTGTGTAGGGGTGACAGAAGAGGAGCAATTTTCAGTGTACAAAGATCAATTTAAAGAAAGTGAAATAGGATTTGCTACTAGCCTTAAAAGACTTTTGTTCAATGTTCAGCTTTCCCATATGTTTTTCAATGTTACCTTAGACAAACAGGTTAATCTGTAATTTAGTTTTGTTAATACTAGTAGTAGTAGTAGTAGTAATAATAATAATAATGTAGAAGTTCTGCTTCAAACTGCTGTGAGAGATTATTTTTTTAGAGCAGTTGGATAGTCTGACGCTCAGCTGCTTAAATGGGATAGTACGTATGGTGAAACTGGTGATGGCTTTGCTCTTGCATTTTCGATTACTATTGCTTTCATCAGTAGTATTAATTATATCACCTGTGTGAAAGTACAGAGACAAGATAAGTAATTTTTATTGCTGCATTTTTTTTGCGCATGTGTAATTATGGTTAGTACTGGGACCAAAGGTCCTTAAAACAAGAACATTAGACATACTGAACGGAAGAACACACATCACCTTCATCTTACCTCAAAAGCCTTGACAGATCCTCCTTTACATGTAGCAGAGTTTAAGTCTAGCCCTGGCTCTAGTTATGAAGGAATGAAATCAGCTGGGACAAAGTCATTGAAACCTCCGACAAAAACATGGTGCATTCCTTGGCACGTTCATAATCATCTGGAAGAGAGACGGTGCATATTTCTCAGTGGGACTCTTCAAGCAGTAGGAAAGCAAAACACTTCTATTGGCTTTTCATGGATGTGGTGGGAGAAAATGAGGCTTTGCAGCAGTTCTTTGAAGGTAAGAGTCAAGTTCTAAGAGAGAGTCTTAACAATTTCTGGTGGCAGCAAAAATACAGTAATTGTTTGGGCTTAATTGGAGAAGAAAGGAAGAAGAAAAAGAGCCCCAAAACCCAAAGCTCTATTTACACAAAGCTATTGTGTAAGAAATAGTACAGAATGAAATAGTACAAATAGTACAGAAAAAAAAAAAAAAGCCTTTTTCTTTGTACTTCGGCCAGAAGACCCAGCAGAGCCTGCAGTACCGCCGTGGTAACTGCCAGGAAGAAAAACTGGGAAGTGGCCGAGGTCTCCTTGCCATTGATCACTTCTGAAATCTTAGTGATTTTCATGAGGTTAGAGAGGTCCCTCCCTGCTCTATCGTACCATGTCAGGTTAAAGAGGGTTTTCTTTCAACTAACACCATTCTTCTGAAATAGCCTGATTATTATTGGTAAAATGGTAATTGTGACAGTATCCTTGGGATCCTTCTGAGAAGTTAAACGCAGATTTTTTTTGTCTTTTGGCTGGGATCTGTCCTGCCTTTTTCCCAAAGACATTTTACATTCAAGCAAGGTCCCGTTAGTCTCCTGCCTTTCTCTTATCACAGAATTTACTTTCTAATAGATTCCATAATCAAACTGCATTTCTCAGCCCTGCCATAACGTGATTCAAAATGATGTTCAAAGGCTTATGTACTACTTTATTTTTTACTACATCTTTTCCTTCCTTTGCTCCAGTTTTCACTTTGCATTTTTTTCAATATTAAGCTTTCAATTCCAAGCTTCTCTTTCTGTATTTGTTTTCTTTCTATTACCTGTGGAGGTATTCATGTGATACTGATCTCAGAGTAACTTGGAAAACTACCTTTTCTGTTTTAGATAACGTGTTTCCCTGCATTTAATTTCCATTGTGCTAAATAAGCGATTTCTTTTTTTCCGGCACTCTGTTGGCCTAGGTGAGAGGTGGCAACTCTAAATTTTGAGTTTTAGTTTCAAACTAGGAAATTAAAGATTCTTCAGCATTGGTCAAGAAAATGTATTTAAGCCAAGAAATTTAAATCAATCTAGGGCTGCTAGCCAGCAAATGTGTTATTTATAGACGTTAGGGAATTCATACCATGTTTAAGTTCACTTCAAGTCATGGAGATCAAAAGCTAACAAACTTCCTTGGCTTTGCTTTCAGCAAGATGTTTGTTTTTATCAAGCTATTTGTTCAAGTACTGCACTGTATAGCTGTCAAATACTCAAAACAGTGTTGGACATGAATTATATAAAAAATTCTCGTAATCAGAAAAATTTTTAGGAACTGATGTGGAAAACAGGACTCTAGGGAGTTTGGGCTAGGTTCTGTTGGCTTTTGTGGCAATGATACTTTGATGGTAGAAGGTATCTCAGATATTTTAGCTGTATGAGCTCTTTAAGTAGAATTACTAATTGTGATTCTAGACTTACTAATTTTTAGGTAAATCTGAAAAGGGAGCAAGCTGAGTTAAAGCTGGGTTTGCACTCTTTTCAAGCAGGCGTTAGCTTCACTGAATGTAAGGCCGACATTAACTGATGGCCTCTCTCCAGCTTAGCACTATGGCTTGTGGGTTGGCTTTATAATGCCACCTCATGAGGCAAGAGCAATAAACTGCTGGTTCTAACTTGGTGGCCTCCAAGATTAGTCACAGCAGCACTAGAACATCATCTTTCAAGGCCACAAAAAAAGCCGAGTCCTGCAATATCAAGTGGAGAATGCCGCCACTGAGAAAGTCTCTCTGCTTTGTCAGTGGTTCAGTTTTGGCTTCCAAATGCATCAGCTGGCAACTCAGCACATTTATAGATCTGCTTTGTAAGATTATTTGAAATTCATGAGCAAAAAGGATCCCATTTCCCCCATTGCTTTAGTTCCTTGCAGTGCGTATTTGTTTTGACACTCATTAGTAAGATAAACTCATATTTGCAATATTCAGAGGGGACAGTCTGAAAAAGGACGTTTTTTTCAAGGAAAATGAGATTGTTTGTTTTCCTGTTGATCACTACTTTCAATAGTCAATAAAACTCGTAGATTAGATATGACTGGGATTTGACCTTGGCTTTTTCTCAAGAGTAAATGGCTTTTTTCTTGTCGTGTGGCTGTTCTGGGAAGTTCTTGTCTTTTTTTCTGTCTCATTTCACTCCTCCCACACTAGAGATTTCATCTTTGAACAGTTTTTCCTATGATTTCTGTTGAAATTAATACTTTTTAATTAAAATACTTGTGGTTTTTAATCAGTAACTTCCTATT